GTAGGTAACAACGCATCTGCCACGCTGATCCTCAACACGGGGGCCCCTCAGGGGTGCGTGCTCAGTCCGCTTCAGTACTCCCTGTTCAGTCATGACTGCATGGCCAGGCATGACTCCAACACCATCATTAAGTTTGCCAATGACACAACAGTGGTAGGCCTGATCACCGACAACGACGAGATAGCCTATAGGGAGGAGGTCAGAGACCTGGCCGTGCATTGCCAGGACAACAACCTCTCCCTCAACGTGATCAAGACAAAGGAGATGATTGTGGACTACAGGAAAAAGAAGAGGACCGAGCACGCCCCCATTCTCATCGGCGGGGCTGTAGTGGAGCACATTGAGAGCTTCAAGTTCCTTGGTGTCCACGTCACCAACAAACTAACATGGTCCAAACACACCAAGACAGTCGTGAAGAGGGCACGACAAAACCTATTCCCCCTAAGGAGACTGAAATGATTTGTCATGGGTCCTCAGATCCTCAAAAGGTTCTAGAGCTGCACCACTGAGAGCATCCTGACTGGTTGCATCACTGCCTGGTATGGCAACTGCTCGGCCTCCGACCGCAAGGCATTACAGAGGGTAGTGCGTACGGCCGAGTACATCACTGGGGCCAAGCTTCCTGCCATCCAGGACCTCTATACTAGGCGGTGTCAGAGGAAGGCCCTAAAAATTGTCAAAGACTCCAGCCACCCTAGTAATAGACTGTACTCTCTGCTACTGCATGGAAAGCGGTACTGGAGCGCCAAGTCTAGGTCCAAGAGGCTTCTAAACAGCTTCTACCCCCAAGCCATAAGACTCCTGAACATCTAAGCTTTTATTTCTTTCATCACATTCCCAGTGGGTCAGAAGTTAACATACACTCAATTAGTATTTGGTAGCATTGCCTTTTAATTCTTTAACTTGGGTCAAACATTTCAGGTAGCCTTCCACAAGCTTCCCACAATAAGTTGGGTGAATTTTGGCCCATTCCTCCTGACAGAGCTGGTGTAACTGAGTCAGGTTTGTAGGCCTCCTTTCTCGCACACGCTTTTTCAGTTCTGTCCACAAATGTTCTATAGGAGGGAGGTCACGGCTTTGTGATGGCCACTCCAATACATTGACTTTGTTGTCTTTTAGCCATAACTTTGGAAGTATGCTTGGGGTCATTGTCCATTTGGAAGACCCATTTGCGACCAAGCTATAACTTCCTGACTGATGTCTTGAGATGTTGCTTCAATATATCCACATAATTTTCCTTCCTCATGATGCCATCTATTTTGTGAAGTGCACCAGTCCCTCCTGCAGCAAATCACCCCCATAGCATGATGCTGCCACCATGGTGCTTCATGGTTGGGATGGTGTTGTTCGGGTTGCAAGCCCCCACTTTTTCCTCCAAACATAACGATGGTCATTATGGCCAAACAGTTGTATTTTTGTTTCATCAGACCAGAGGACATTTCTCCAAAAAGTACGATCTTTGTCCCCATGTGCAGTTGCAAACCGTAGTCTGGCTTTTTTATGGCGGTTTTGGAGCAGTGGCTTCTTCCTTGCTGAGCGGCCTTTCAGGTTATGTCGATATAGGACTCGTTTTACTGTGGATATAGATACTTTTGTACCTGTTTCCTCCAGCATCTTCACAAGGTCCTTTGCTGTTGTTCTGGGATTGATTTGCACGTTTGGCACCAAAGTACGTTCATCTCTAGGAGACAGAGCGCGTCTCCTTCCTGAGCGGTATGACGGCTGCGTGGTCCCATGGTGTTTATACTTACGTACTATTGTTTGTACAGATGAACGTGGTACCTTCAGGCGTTTTGAAATTGCTCCCAAGGATGAACCAGACTTGTGGAGGTCTACCATTTTCTTTCTGAGGTCTTGGCTGATTTCTTTAGATTTTCCCATGATGTCAAGCAAAGAGGCACTGAGCTTGAAATACATCCACAGGTACACCTCCAATTGACTCAAATTATGTCAATTAGCCTATCAGAAGCTTCTAAAGCCATGAACATAATTTCCTGGAATTTCCCAAGCTATTTAAAGGCACAGTCAACTTAGTGTATGTAAACTTTTGACCCATTGGAATTGTAACACAGAGAATTTTAAGTGAAATAATCTGTCTGTAAACAATTGTTGGAAAAATTACTTGTGTCATGCACAAAGTAGATGTCCTAACCGACTTGCCAAAACTATAGTTTGTTAACAAGAAATATGTGGAGTGGTTGAAAAACAAGTTTTAATGACTCCAACCTAAGTGTATGTAAACTTCAGACTTCAACTGTAGCCTTGCTATTGTTATTTTTACTGCTGCTCTTCAATTATTTGTTACTTTTATTTCATATTATTTTATATAGTATTTTTTTGTGCTTTTTTTTGGTATTCTTTCTTAAAACTGCATTGTTGGTTAAGGGCTTGTAAGTAAGCATTTCACTTTAAGCTCTACACCTGTTGTATTCGGCGCATGTGACAAATAAAATTTGATTTGTTCTCAATGCTAGAGGCGTCAGTACAGACCCTGGTTCAATCCTGGGCTGTATCACAACTGGCCATGATCGGGAGTCCCATAGGGTGGCGCACAATTGGCCCAGCGTCGTCCGGGTTAGGGGAGGGTGTCACGCCCTGGCTCTGGGACTCTGTTATGTTGAGCCAGGGTGTGTGGTTTCTATGTGTTTTGTGTGCTAGGGTTATTATCTAGTTATTTTGTTTCTATGTTGGCCGGTGTGTTTCTCAATCAGAGGCAACGTGTATCAGCTGTTGCTTGTTGTGTCTGATTGGGAACCATACTTAGGCAGCCTGTTTTCCACAGTGTGTTGTGGGATCTTGTTCCGTTTGGTTTGTGTAACCGTAGGACTACACGTTTCGTATCGTTTGTTGTTTTGTTCGTGTGGTGACTCAAATAAAAAGAAGTATGTTCACTCATCACATCTGCGCCTTGGTCCACTGTATTCGACGATCGTGACAGAAGATCCCACCATAACTGGACCAAGCAGCGTGTCCAGGAGCCGACGCCAGAGGTGACTCTGAAGGATATCAACCTCGACTGGGTCAAGCCGCGGGAGGAGGAGAGAGGCTGGACTTTGGAGCAGAGGAGCGAGAGTCTGGCGAGAGCCATGGAGGCCTGGCCCACGGGGAGGAGAGACGCCCAGACATTTTTTAGGGGGGGGCTCACGCCGTGGACGACGGGGCAGCAGGAGGCCGGGATAGAGTGGTTCAGCGGGTTGGCAAAGGAGGCCGCCAGGTTACGGGAGTCACTGGTCACCAGGGGGAAGGAGAATGTAGAGGCACGGCGAGAGGTACTGGGGTGTGTTGCCAGTCCGGTCCGGCCCGTTCCTGATCCCCGCGTAGGGCCAGTGGTGTGTGTCCCCAGTACGGTCCGGCTTGTTCCTGTCCCTCGCACCGAGCCTGTGGTGCGCGTCGCCAGCCCGGTCCGGCATGTTCCTGCCCCTCGCACCAAGCCTGTGGTGCGCTTCGTCAGCCCGTTTCGGCCCGTCCCTGCTCCCCGCACCAAGCCAATGGTGCGCTTCGTCAGCCCGGTTCGGCCCGTCCCTGCTCCCCGCACCAAACCAGTGGTGCGCTTCGTCAGCCCGGTTCGGCCCGTCCCTGCTCCCCGCACCAAGCCAGTGGTGCGCTTAGTCAGCCCGGTTCGGCCCGTCCCTGCTCCCCGCACCAAGCCAATGGTGCGCGTCGTCAGCCCGGTCCGGCCTGTTCCTGCTCCCCGCACCAAACCAGTGGTGCGCTTCATCAGCCCGGTTCAGCCTGTCCCTGCTCCCCGCACCAAGCCAATGGTGCGCGTCGTCAGCCGGGTCAGGCCCATCCCTGCTCCCCGCACCAAGCCTGTGGTGCGCGTCGTCAGTCCGGCACAGCCCGTGCCTGTTCCACCGGTGCCTGGTCCGGCACCGGTCAGCTGCTCCACTCCGGAGCTAGAGCAATCCGCTCCACCAGTGTTCAGTCCAGCTCCGGCCAGCAGGGCCAGACCGGACCAGGGGCGCTTTGGGGGGTTAGAGAGGGAGTGGGGGTCATGCCCGGAGCTGGAACCGCCTCCGAGGAGGAATGCCCACCCGGCCCTGTTCGGTTTATGTTTGGCGCGGTCGCAGTCCGCGCCTTTGGGGGGGGGGGGAGTACTGTCACGCCCTGGCTCTGGGACTCTGTTATGTTGAGCCAGGGTGTGTGGTTTCTATGTGTTTTGTGTGCTAGGGTTATTATCTAGTTCTTTTGTTTTTATGTTGGCCGGTGTGGTTCTCAATCAGAGGCAACGTGTATCAGCTGTTGCTTGTTGTCTCTGATTGGGAACCATACTTAGGCAGCCTGTTTTCCACAGTGTGTTGTGGGATCTTGTTCCGTTTGGTTTGTGTAACCGTAGGACTTCATGTTTCGTATCGTTTGTTGTTTTGTTCGTGTGGTGACTCAAATAAAAAGAAGTATGTTCACTCATCACGCTGCGCCTTGGTCCACTGTATTCGACGATCGTGACAGAGGGTTTGGCCGGGGTAGGCCGTCATTGTAAATAATAATTTGTTCTTAACTGACTTGCCTATTTAAATTAAGGTTAATAAATAAATAAAAATAAATAAGAACTACCACCGCCACTGACAACACTCAGCCCAGGTGAACTATAAGAGTATTCCCCATTCTGTCATTCATTTGAAATGTTTCTCTTTTCCCCATCTAACAGTCTATGATTACACCATGTATAATATGCCAGTATATCAGTAGCCATGCCCTACTACACTACATATTTCTATTCAGTGCAGTGGTTTACTCTGGTACTGGTACTCCCTGTATATAGACCCATTCTTATTTTATTCCTTGTGTAAGTTACTATTTTACTTTGTATTATCTTTTAAACTCTGCATCGTTGGGAAAGGTTCATAAGCAAGTATTTCACTGTAAAGTCTACACCAGTTGTATTCGGCACGTGATAAATACAATTTTATTTTATTTGGACAGGAGCTCTGAATGTTCTGTTTAGTATTTAGATCAGTGCTGTGCTGTGGCTCCCTCTAGGGTTCATAGACCTCCCAGCCTCTGTGTCTGTATCGGAGAGCACCCGTCCCAGGAGTGTGGTGGTGGAGTTTCAGGTGCAGAGCTCCAGTCTTCTCCCCACAGTCATCATCCTCTCTGTCAACCCAGAGTTAGCAGTGTTTGAGACGCCCATCGTAAACCCTACTAAAGTCTCTGGGATCTTCAATGTCCAGGTCGGAACAGCCAATTTAGTCAAATATCAGTTCTCAGGTATCTTTATTGTCATCTGCTTTTTATACTGATGAAGACATTAAAAAATGTAACATTCTAACCTAACCCAAGCTTCATGTCCACACCCTGGCACAACCCTAGTCTCAACCCTAACTTCATGTCCACATCCCAGTTCAACCCTAACCCTAGCTTCATGTCCACATACCAGTTCAACCCTAACTCTAGCCTCAACTACAACCCTGACCCCCAACCATAACCCTAACTTCATGCCCACATCCCCGTTCAACCCTAACCCTAACTTCATGTCCACATACCAGTTCAACCCTAACTCTAGCCTCAACTACAACCCTGACCCCCAACCATAACCCTAGCTTCATGTCCACATACCAGTTCAACCCTAACCCTAGCCTCAACTACAACCCTGACCCCCAACCATAACCCTAGGGTTATGTCCATACGCCAGCTTAACCCTAAACCTAGCCACCTAACCCTAACCTCTGTTTTGCACATGGACAAATGAGACATTAGTAAAGATACATGTTTTGCAACTAATATTGTGTATATGTGTAGATAGTGTTGAACGGTTCTCTGGACTATGAGAAGGCCAGCATGGTGAGTGTTCGTCTGGGCCTGGTCACTCCATCAGGCCGTGTAGACCAAACCTTCCATATCAGAGTGGTGGATGAGAACAACACGCCACAGTGTGAACCTCTGTTCCAGCTGCCTGGTAACACAACCTCACCCCAACCACTACACATACATTATACACTGTTTACGTGGCTATTTCGATGTTATACTATGGTATAAGGTCAGTGTATTGTTAAGAGGGACGTTGTAATGAATAGATGGGCTGATGAGTGTTTGTGTACAGGAGCTGAGGTTCATGTCCCTGAGAACCTTCCTGTTCCTGTGACTCTCTACACTGTCCTGGCCTCCGACCCAGACCGCAACGACACTCTCTCTGTAATATACACACTACCTCCTCATTACTTTATGATCTCAATTGTATTACTGTACCAATACATTGTCTAATCATATTTAGTATAGGTTTAGACCGAGTGTTGATACCCGTTCTGGTTTGTGCGGCAGTTCTCTATCAGTCAGGTCCTGCCCAACACCTCCAAAGAACAGTTCCACATCAGTGGAGGTGGCAGCATCATCTCAAACCAACCATTTGATTATCACACAGGGCCAAGGGTGAGGGTGTGATATGGTTGACCTTTATGTATAAAGAGAGATTTTAGAAGTTTGTTTTATCAGAATGATTTCCTCCTCGTGTGATGCTGTTGAACAGGAGTTGATGCTGTCTGTGGTTGTGAGAGACAAACATGGGGCTAACTGCACTGGGACAGTCAGGATCAAGGTGCTGAAAGTCTACAACCCTCCCCTGGATCTGCTGTGAGTTCAGCAGAGATGGAATGATGCCATGCCTTCTGAATGTTTATCTATCACCCCCAGTCCTAAGAGGTTTCATTTCTGGGGTTTATGATACGATTTGTGTTTATCAGATTTAAATGTTAAAAGCTTGGTTAATCCAGATCTCTTGTCAGTCTTGTTTCCCAGAATGTGTCCACCTTTGAGAACCAAGGACCCGAGGATATTGTAGCTATCGTCAGAGCTAACCTCACCATCCCTGATGTACTCTACACTTTTGTGAAAGATTATCCCCATTTCAAGATTGGTAGAGGTTCGGATTTTCTAATTCTTATCTCACCAATAATATGTGAAGAAAATCAATGTTTTTATAATATCCTCTATGCATTGAGATGCATAAATAGCTGAATCCTAATTTGGGATTTCAACGTGAAACTCAATTTTCTTTGCGTAAATCCTCGACATCAGTGCATAATGATCTGTTTCCTACATATATTTAATTGTTAGGGAACTACTACCAAATATCACTTAAATTGGTACAGCACTCTCACTAACGGGTGCAACAAATATAGCCAATTACAAGGCACACCTCAAAATATGTTAATCAGTGAGAAACAACAATACCATGCACCCACTGGTGTTCAAAAGGTTTTTGGCGCTCCAAAAATGCGGTATGATACTATATTCTGAATTACAGTAAATAACTGGCAGTAATTAGTTAATGTAGAGTTTCAGGACATGGTTTGTAGAATTCCTAAAATACAGTATTTTACTTTATTCTGTGGTGGTACACCGTTCTCATTCCTGGGTGCAACAAATATAGCCTCTTACAACCTTAATATGTTAATGAGCCAGAGATTCTTTGCCCTCCCACATTTTCCCACAGTGCACCATAATTAATACTGTAAAGCACATTTACGGTATTTTACGGTGCATCTTACAGTATTTTACTGTTGAAAGTACATGAAGGTCTTACAGTGTGCTGCAAAACAAATGTATGGTATTTTACTGGGCATTATACAGTAATCTAGTGTGTACAGTTTATACAGTGTCATTTGGTCGATTAATACATCAAGTTACCGATAACATTACAAAAAACGGCTAACAGTGAAGGATTTGCGCCCAAAGTGTTGAACTGTCTCTCTTCCTGTCTTGTCCTATCAGAGGACGGTATCATCAGAACAGCCTATAACCTGGACCTGGAGGCGGAGCGGGCCCTGGCCCAAAGTGTTCTATTGGTCAGAGCCTACAGTGTGGCAGTGGAACGCTCTGCTACCGCCACTGTCACGGTCAACGTTTTGGATGTCAATGAGTTCCCACCTTTCTGCTTCCCCTCAGTGTTTGTGTAAGTAACATGACTCCACTGGATCACTGGGCACCTGACTAAAATCAGCCTTATATTACTAAAGTATATTTTTGATAGATTACATTAGGTCATGTCTATGGCCAGGAGTTTTCTATGACCATGTTACGTGACCATAACTCCTATAACTGGGGTCCATAGTTTTTTTGGTTAGGAGAAACTCTGGGGCCTACTCATGTGCAGACTGCAGTGCCCCAAAGGCTGACTCAAGAGGAGGAAGCGTAGAGAGGATATAGGGGTGTATAGTGTTAGACTAATGGTGGTCATTAGGACAAGACAAGCATCATTATACAGTCTCCTTCACTACAGATGAATGACCACCCAGCCTGTATGACCTACTTCATACCCACCATCATTATCCCTATCAGGCTACAGCCTAATTATGAATGATGATATGTATTATTGGACAGAGGTTGGAGATAATTGGGTCTTAGCTGAATTACTTTAGAACTGCTTTGAATCAGTGCAGAGAAATGAGTCCCATTTGGGTCTGGGATAAGGCGCTTATGCAGTGTGTGAGGTTAATTATTGTTATACATATTAGCTCAAATAAAACAGATGTTTATAGTCTAAGAAATGTAAGAAGCTGAACTTAAACAGTTTGATAATTTCACCTTTCTGTAAATGGTTTTGGAAACAGAAATAGAACAGCCGTTTGCCAGATTGAACACAGACTGTGTGTCCTGTTGTGTTGTAGGCTGGAGGTGTCAGAGACCACTGAGGTGGGCAGCAGTCTGGGCTCACTGACCTGTGTTGACATTGACGTCAGTAACCAGAGTGTGTCTCTCACACTTGTCGAGAACAGATTATCACTGTTCAAATTCCGCCTCAGAGACGGACAGCTCCAGGTAACCATGATAATGACATAACAATGCATAACATTTGAAGTGAGGGCTCGATTCAATCCGTAGCGCAGAATATCTGCATTGTAGCGCGGTTCACATTTAAAGGTATTTTCCGATTGAGCCGACATATGCAGCGGTTACAGTGAATGCAGTCTCTGCGACTGCCTTTAATTGTCAATCGCGCTATAAAGCCGATCTTCAGCGATACGGATTGAATTGAGCCCTGAATCTTCCTGCCAGGTAAACAACACTCTGGACTACGACTCTGCAGAGATAGCTACCAATAACTTCCAGTATGAGGCCACCATCTTGGCTATGGACACAGGCACCCCTCCTCTCACATGTCAGTTTACTTTGTGTTGTTCCGTGTGTGTGTGTCATGTACACAGTACACCATCATCTAATGTATGTGGCAGTTTACTTCAAAGTTATAGGATGGCAGTATAACACAGTTTCTCTCTGTATCCAGCCCAGGTGCGTGTGCTGGTCAGTGTGACCCCAGTCAATGAACATGATCCAGCATTTCAGACTTTGTTCTTCAGTGTCCCAGAGGGCACCAGGCCTGGTACGGCAGTGGGGACGGTGGTGGCCAGAGACACAGACTGGCCCTTTGACAACATCCGCTACTCCATCACTTCAGGAGATGCCATGTTCACTATTGACCCTGAGGGAGGTGAGGCTACAGCTGAGCACACAGGGATCATCTTAAGATTATTAGTTAACATTTAACATCCATAAATATGTTGCATGTACCAACATGTAGAGTGGCCCCTTCTCTCTCTCCAGGGGAGCTGTATCTGGGCGGAGAGCTGGACTTTGAGGAGCAGCAGGTGTATGTAGTGAGGGCTCAGGCTGAGGATTATGAACAGGATGTGGACCGTACCAACCGCAAGAGAAGAACAGTGGACATCACTGTGCAAGTGGAGGTGAGGAATGGACAGAGAGCTAAAGCCCCATTGTACATTTATCTAGTACAGTATAACAGAGTACATACTTTCAGACATTTATCCATATAATACCATAGATTAAATAGTTTTGGATGTAAACTGTGAAAACTAATATGATTACTGTGTATCCATTCCATCCTCTCTCTTCTCTGTCAGGATGTGAATGATAATGCTCCAGTGTGTGACCCAATCTCCTATGAGTCCACCATCTTCTCCACCTTGTCTAATAAACTCCCCATCCTCTCACTCAGCTGCACTGATGCAGACGACGACGAACTAACAGCTACCATCGCTAACGGTACAGTGTGTTTATGTAACTGAGTGTATGTTTCAGTTTACACTAATATTCCCCAGCTGAAGATTTTTTGCATATCTGAGCATGTGTGATTTCATTAATGACAGGTGCTGCAGTGGACCGGTTTCTGATGACCGGGTTGAGTCTCTTCTCCAAAAATGTGTTCTCCTACGTAGTGGATGGGGTTTATGACCGCACCATGTTTGAAGTCACCATTTCTGTGTCGGATGGCAGGCATCACACTGCGACTGTGGCCTACATCTATGTAGTTCCCTGGACCACTACTGTTCCTACTACTACCACTACAGTAAGATCAGCCCTGTAGAGACATGGTACACACCACTGTAACACAGCTACTGCATATGAAGGAAAACCTTTTACAATAGGAGACCCATAAGAGACTGTATCATCTCTCTGCTGTCCCTCCTCTAGGCCAAGCCTCCACAGGTGGTCACTGTGATGTCAGACTACTGGGATCCAGAACCTTGGTTTGTTGCCGTGGTGACGGTTACCGGTGTCCTGCTCCTGGTAGTCACAAGTCTGCTCATCTGGACCATACTGAGCCGGTGATCACCCCCCACACACACTGATCACCTGTGCCCAACTCTCTCGCTCTAGACTCTCTATAAAAGAGATAAGAATAAGTCTGAAGTGATGATGTCGAGCAAGGTTGCACAACTCTGGTCCTTCACGACCTCTGTTCAATTAATCCGCTCACTGAAGAGTTCACAAGACCTGCTCTCCCATGGAAGCAGCAGGGTTTTCGGGCAGGGGTTAAGGTATTATAACAGTTCATAATAAGCATTTTATGTTTATGCCTGCAGCGTCTATGGTTGGGGACTAAAATACGTGCCTGAACCTACATCAAATAAGACGTGAGTGCCATTAGAGAACCAAGTTGTGAATTATAAACGTTTTACCACTAACTCACAACGTACTGTATAATATGTTATCTGAGCAGGGAAGAGATCGGCAAAATGAGCACAGAAGTGAGTCAAAATGGAGCCAATGAAAATGACCAGGTAAGTTTGGATCAATGGTTTCCAATTGCATCCTGCTAAGAATAAATGATGTGGAACAACATGGGTTTACCTTTGAATGTGTTTCTCCAAGGCCTCACTAGATGGCACTCTAAGTCTGTCTAAAGTCAGCATACAAGACGACCTGATGGTAGGTGTTCATTGCCTATGGAAAACTCTATTATGGGTTACAGTCTGCATGAGGTCCAGGCTTAATAGAGATTTAACTTGTCATTTCTGTTCTCTCAGAGGTTTGATGGGAAGGCACAAGATCCAGGTAAGAGCTGTGCTTACAAACCGGTTTCAAAATGTTCCAATATTCATATTAAGCAAATCATCTTCTGGAATTTATCAAAACATACGAATTAATCCAATGTTTTCAGGCCTAAAATGTGAGAAGTAATTCGAAAACATGTTTTTTGTTAGTTTCAGGGCGCAGTTACCTGTTCAAGTCGACCACTGGTGAACGGCGTTGGTTGTAGGGGACGTCCACAGCCTCACCATCAACGACCTGCAGTGATCTATGTGCTGTTTACATCATCTGGTTCTGCCTGAAGAGGATTCATATGATGTGTGCAATCAGGCATTCTAGCATAATTTTGATTTCAATTACAGGTCGATTTGAAGTTTGTGTGAGTAAATTTTAAAATATATACTGTACTTATAACACATAATCATACTGACATGCTGTGTTGGAGACTACTACTAAATTACTATTCCTGTGTGTGTACCTCTAGTTCAGCATCAACAACATACACTATATATACATAAGTATGTGGACACTCCTTCAAATTAGTGGATTCGGCTATTTCAGCCACACCCGTTGCTGATTGGTGTATAAAATCGAGCACACAGCCATGTAAATGTCCATAGATAAACATTGGCAGTTGAATGGCCTTACTGAAGAGCTCAGTGACTTTCAACGTGGCACAATCATAGGATGCCACCTTTCCAACAAGTCAGTTCATACAATTTCTGCCCTGCTAGAGCTGACCCGGTCAACTAAGTGCTCTTATTGTGAAGTGGAAAAGTCTAGGAGCAACAACGGCTCAGCCGCAAAGTGGTAGGCCACACAAGCTCACAAAACGGGACAGCTGAGTGCTGAAGCGCGTAAAAATAGTCTATCCTCGGTTGCAACACTCACTACGGAGTTCCAAAGTGCATCTGGAAGCAATGTCAGCACGAGAACTGTTAGTCGGGAGCTTCATGAAATGGGTTTCCATGGCCGAGCAGCCGCACACAAGCCTAAAATCACCATGCGCAATGCCAAGCGTCGGCTGGAGTGGTGTAAAGCTCACCACATTTGGACCCTGGAGCAGTGGCAACGCGTTCTCTGGAGTGACGATTCACGCTTCACCATCTGGCAGTCCAACAGACAAATCTGGGTTTGGCGGATGCCAGGAGAACGCTACCTGCTCCAATGCATAGGGCCAACTGTAAAGTTTGGTGGAGGAGGAATAATGGTCTGGGGCTGTTTTTCATGGTTCGGGCTAGGCCCCTTAGTTCCAGTGAAGGGAAATCTTAACGCTATAGCATACAATGACAGTCTAGACGATTCTGTGCTTCCAACTTTGTGGCAACAGTTTGTGGAAGGCCCTTTCCTGTTTCAGCATGACAACGCCCCTGTGCACAAAGCAAGGTCCATACAGAAATGGTTTGTCGAAATCGGTGTGGAAGAACTTGACTGGCCTGCACAGAGCCCTGACCTCAACCCCATTGAACACCTTTGGGATGAATTGGAACGCCGACTGCGAGCCAGGCCTAATCGCCCAACATCAGTGGCCAACCTCACTAATGCTCATGGCTGAATGGAAGCAAGTCCCCGCAACAATATTCCAACATCTAGTGGAATGCCTTGCCAGAAGAGTGGAGGCTGTTATAGAAGCAAAAGGGGGGACCAACTCCATATTAATGCCCATGATTTTGAGATGTTCGACGAGCAGGTGTCCACATACTTTTGGTCATGTAGTGTACGTCGTTTTGTCTGACTTGTGGAATAACAATTTGTTTTGGTTTTATTACACCAACAGTTCTAACATGCTTTAAATTATGTGGTTTGGTGGAATTAAACTATATCTGTTGTGTTCTATGAACAACTTGTCCATTAGTATGTGAAAATGACCTAAACAATGTGTAGGAAAAAACACACAAGAGCAAGTAAATCAGATGATCTCTACTTTTTATTTAAATTAAATCATTATATAAGACTTTCAAAGCATTTTAATATTGACCAAAAACACTAACCTTTTTTCCCCAATTAGATTTTGTCTTTCCTTAATCACTATTTATCCTTAAGATGGTTTGACGAAAATGGAAGGAAAATTTAGGCATACGGTCGATCAAACAGTACTGATAAAAGCATATCTACGAATCGGTTGTAAACTTAAGTGAAGGCACAAACATACTGCAAAAGACATGGAATTGGTACTATAAAAAAAATAACAATGTTAGGTACATACATACTTTAAATCAGTTAGAATTGTTGCCATTCTTTCCCCTGGTTGTGATGCTTTTTTTGTTTTACTTTTTAATATTTTTATTTAGATTTTGTAAAAGGAATGTTAAAATATTCTGTGCAGATTACAGAGCTAATATATTTGCCATCTTGAGTCATGCAGGAACAATATGCGGTTTGGCTATGAATGAGGAACATATGTAAACATGATAAAAAAAGCACTTCCTTTTTCCATTCATAATCTTTATCCATGCCTGTGCTTCTTTTAAAAAATGAGCTTTATGCGATTAAAAGTTTAATAGAATTTGCACTGCACATCAGATTTTCTAAAGTAAAATGAACGCATTTATATAAAAACTTTTTCCATTGCCTCCTCTAATAATTGAAAATAAACTAAGAAAAAACAACAATACAATAATAAATGTTTGATTTGTGGTCTTAGCCCAAAGAGTTAACAATACGAGCAACTGGATCAGCAATCGTTGAAATTCTGCAAGGCTCTCCGAGTTCTCAGTCTCTTAGGTGTCCTTAAAAAAAGCAGATCAAAGCAGAAATCGTGGTTGGCCAGTGCATTCCTTCACAACATGTTTCTTCCCCAACCTTCCTTCTAGTCATCAGAGCTGTTCAAGTAATCTGAGGGAACACAGAGAAAGGGAGGGGTTAATGCATCCAACATTTACCTTTAAGTTGCATTCAAAGCACATTAAGTAACTGGTTTCTGTGCATTTATGAACAGATATCTCTCAGTGTGTGCTCTATTGTACATGTGTAGAAGCTCACCTTGACTATTCCTCTGGCTTCACTCTAGAAGAGACCACAGTCCTTCAGGTTGTTCTTGATGATGACGTCGGTGACGGCGTCGAAGACAAACTGAACGTTCTTGGTGTCGGTGGCTTGAGTGAAGTGGCTGTAGATCTCCTTGGTGTCCTTCTTCTTGTTCAGGTCCTCAAACTTGGTCTGGATGTAGGCCTGCGCCTCCTCAAATGTGTTGGGACCTGGGCATAGGAGAGGAGGCCCATAGAATTACAATGGTTGTGCTACCGATTCTGTACGCGACAGGAGAAATCTAGTATCAGGTGGAGAAGTTGATCTGCTCTACTGATGGGATTCATGGGGTTATTGAGCTACACATCTTGCCACTAGATTCCTTCTACTGGTAAAAACGACACCTCTTAGCCTGACATGAGAATTTCAACATAAAGCACTGCCAACTACAAGAGAACATGGAACATTCAGGGGATTCCAAGTTGTGTTGTGGTCTTACCAGAGTACTCTGGGAAGCAGATGGTCAGGGGGCTGTGGGTGATCTTATCCTCAAACAGATCCTTCTTGTTGAGGAACAGGATGATGGAGGTCTCTGTGAACCACTTATTGTTGCAGATGGAGTCAAACAGCTTCATGCTCTCGTGCATACGGTTCTATGGGGAGAGAGGAAATGAAAACAGAGAACATAATTTAATTCCAGTTGATCCAGACAACTCAAAATGAATGTGAAGTAATTTCCTTTAGAAATAAAACTGCATTAAAGGGATAAGAGAGATCCCGTCAGTGGTACTTAAAACAGTCTTCTGCCTCCTCACCATCTCCTCATCCTCAGCCAGCACCAGATCATAGGCACTCATGGCCACACAGAAGATGATGGCTGTGACTCCCTCAAAGCAGTGGATCCATTTCTTCCTCTCGGAACGCTGACCGCCCACGTCAAACATCCTGCAGGGACACAAGCAGCAAGTGAGGGTCACCCTTTTACTGCTGTTAGTCTAACCCTGTATCTCTTTGATGTGTGCAGATTGTGAAGTGGATAGGTGTAAACAATATGGTGCTGGCTGCACAGATTTTCATGGGCTTACGGGATTTCCCCAATGTTGTTTACACTTATCCAGTCTATTTGGATCTGGAAACACAGGAGGGGAGGTTTTCTGCAGGGCCATTCATGTCCTCTGTATTGGGATCCATAATTACACCACTGAGAGGGAAGCACCATGATGATGTGACATTCCTGGGGGAGCCCCCACACTCCATCAAACCAGGCTGGCCCAGAGGAGAAGGGAGGCCTGAGGGTCTCTCTGTACTCATAGCAGCTAGCCTTCCTCTGGGGACATCTCGCTATGTGCACTGCAGTTCGAGAGAGATGGAGAGAGAGCGAGGCAGACTGTCTCCACTGGGCAAAAACCTTCGCTGCACAGACCCTGGCATTTTGTTGGAATGTTTTGTACTGTGAGCCCTGCTAGAAATTCTGCTGATATTTGGATGAATTTCGTATGTAATGGAGTGCTGCTATGCTATGTGTTGATAGGCTGTGTAAGCCTGCCAACACAGGGCTGTAATGTTCAGGGCTGTAATGAGTAGCGCTCACCTCAACAGGGCTCTAGTCAGCTCTAATATCACTCACTGTAGCCTGATTCGATCAGCCCAGCTAAACACTAGCTAACACTGCTGCAGGGCATGTTACTTTTGTTTGGGGTTGTGTGTGTGTATATCGAGTATACACGCACACACAAACAAACCTCTAATAATGACAAAAGTCTAATAGATACAGTTGAAGTCGGAAGTTTACATACACTTAGGTTGGAGTCATTAAAACTTGTTTTTCAACCACTACACACATTTCTTTTGAACAAACTATAGTTTTGGCAAGTCGGTTAGGACATCTACTTTGTGCATGACACAAGTAATTTTTCCAACAATTGTTTACAGACAGATTAATTCACTTATAATTCACTGTATCACAATTCCAGTGGGTCAGAAGTTTACATACACTAAGTTGACTGTGCCTTTAAACAGCTTGGAAAATTCCAGAAAATGATGTCATGGCTTTAGAAGCTTCTGATAGGCAAATTTACATCATTTGAGTCAATTGGAGGTGTACCCGTGGATGTATTTCAAGGCCTGCCTTCAAACTCCGTGCCTCTTTTCTTGACATCATGGGAAAATCTAAAGAAATCAGCCAAGACCTCAGAAAGAAAATGTTAGACCTCCACAAGTCTGGTTCATCCTTGGGAGCAATTTCCAAACGCCTGAAGGTACCATGTTCATCTGTTCAAACAATAGTACGCAAGTATAAACACCATGGGACCACGCAGCCATCATACCACTCAGGAAGGAGACGCGTTCTGTCTCCTAGAGATGAACCTACTTTGGTGCGAAAAGTGCAAATTAATCCCAGAACAACAGCAAAGGACCTTGTGAAGATGCTGGAGGAAACAGGTACAAAAGTATCTATATCCACAGTAAAACGAGTCCTATATCGACATAACCTGAAAGGCCGCTCAGCAAGGAAGAAGCTACTGCTCCAAAACCACCATAAAAAAGCCAGACTATGGTTTGCAACTGCACATGGGGACAAAGATCGTACTTTTTGGAGAAATGTCCTCTGGTCTGATGAAACAAAAATATAACTGTTTGGCCATAATGACCATCGTTATGTTTGGAGGAAAAAGGGGGGCCTTGCAAGCCGAAGAACACCATCCCAACCGTGAAAATGTCAGTGAAGACACTTGCCAGTTGGTCAGCACATGCTCGGAGTACACGTCCTGGTAATCCGTCTGGCCCTGCGGCCTTGTGAATGTTGACCTGCTTAAAAGTCTTACTCACATCGGCTACGGAGAGCGTGATCACATAGTCATCCGGAACAGCTGGTGCTCTCATGCATGCTTCAGTGTTGCTTGCCTCGAAGCGAGCATAGAAGTGGTTTAGCTCGTCTGGTAGGCTTGTGTCACTGGGCAGCTCGCGGCTGTGCTTCCCTTTGTAGTCTGTAATAGTTTTCAAGCCCTGCCACATCCGACGAGCGTCAGAGCCAGTGTAGTATGATTCAATCTTAGACCTGTATTGACTCTTTGCCTGTTTGATGGTTCGTCGGAGGTCATAGCGGGATTTCTTATAAGATGTAAACTTCCGTATGTAAACTTCCGACTTCAACTGTACCTTGCAACTGGAGATTCCTTCAAAACACTAAATGGAAGTGTATGCTGACTCCATTTGAACACCTCTATTCCATTTGATGTGTAAAGGTGGTTGTGGTGGTGGTATTGACATTTAACCTGGAACTTCCTCAGTAGTTTACAATTAATACATGGATAGATAGATGACTGAGAAATTGTTCTGTTACCCAGGATAAAAGGGTAATGGAGGAATGGATCCAATTCCCACATTCAAATGATCAGAGATTTCTGAAGCCACTGCCATTGAACACATAAACCAGCCTGCAAATAGCCACGCAACAGGCCAGTCCATCAACACTTTTTCACACCACTTCCCCACCATACACACACACACACACACACACACACACACACAGAGAGAGAACCAGACCAAGTCAGTCAGCTGGAAATGGCCTTTTCAAAGTAACAACCAGACAAGATGGTGTCTTGGAGTGAAGAAGAAAGACAGAGAGGAAAGAAACAGAGGTTCCTTTGTGTTTGGGCAATGGTGCGGGCAGTGGTTTCAAAATGAACCACATCCTGATGCTAACTTATGAGAAAGGATTAGGCTACCCATTTCACATTCACTATCAACAACAGACATAAATTAAAGCAGTGCTTTCTGCTGGAACAATACATATCAGAATATAAAGGAGGAACCTTTGATTCACAATGGGGAACTAGTGCACTGGCGCGCGCACACACACACACACACACTAGGAAAGTCAGTGGTCCACTTACTTAAAGTGCAGGTCTTTGAAGGTGAAGTGTGTCTCAACGATGCCGGTGGTCTTCACTCTGGTCCGCAGCACGTCCTGCTGTGTGGGGATGTAGTCTGCTTTGGCTATCCTCTCCAGGTCATTCAGGTAGCTGACAGGGACAACACACACACATGGGTCAGAATATAGACAGCTGTCAGATTAAAAACCAGGTGGACTTTCACTAAGCCTAGGGTCACAGGGTTTCAGGCATCTAACTCTACACCACTGGCTTTCCCACATTGTTAATGGTATTGGTGAAATCTGTTTATTTAACCCCCATCAATATAAACTCATCACTTAACAAGTACACACACTAAGTAGATAAAGATCCATCAACATAAGTCTGAAGTGCCCTCTCTATGGTGGATATGATACGCATCAGCACTCAATCTGCCAGGAGATTCCGACAGACTGACTCTTAACCCATTTACACACACATACAGATGATAGTGGTATTAGATCATTGAGAAACCATCTGATTTTGCCTGTTGAGAGGGAAAACTATTGTGTCAGACCACTGCAAATCATTACTGTCCAGCCTAGTCTCAGACTAGACGTAACATAGTAAACTAAAATCTGGGACACTCAAATGAGTATGATATGTTAGTTTTGGTTACATAACACAGAAGGTTATTTAAGTCAAAAACAAAAATGAAGGTGGTTGGTCAGGGTGGATAGGTGGGCATATAACGCAAACGTCTAGGAACCCAAAGGCTGCGTGTTCGAGTCTCATCACGGAAAACATTAGCATTTCTGCTAATTAGCCACTTTGCAACTAGTTACTACTTTTTAGCTACTTTGCAACTAAACTCAGCAAAAAAAGAAATGTCCTCACTGTCAACTGAGTTTATTTTCAGCAAACTTAACATGTGTAAATATTTGTATGAACATAAGATTCAACAACTGAGACATAAACAGAATAAGTTCCACAGACATGTGACTAACAGAAATAGAATAATGTGTCCCTGAACAAAGGGGTGGGGATCAAAATCAAAAGTAACAGTCAGTATCTGGTGTCGCCACCAGCTGCATTAAGTACTGCAGTGCATCTCCTCCTCATGGACTGTACCAGATTTGCCAGTTCTTGCTGTGAGATGTTACCCCACTCTTCCACCAAGGCACCTGCAAGTTCCCGGACATTTCTGGGGGGAATGGCCCTAGCCCTCACCCTCCGATCCAACAGGTCCCAGACGTGCTCAATGGGATTGAGATCCGGGCTCTTCGCTGGCCATGGCAGAACACTGACATTCCTGTCTTGCAGGAAATCACGCACAGAACGAGCAGTATGGCTGGTGGCATTGTCATGCTGGAGGGTCATGTCAGGATGGGCCTGCAGGAAGGGTACCACATGAGGGAGGAGGATGTCTTCCCTGTAACACACAGCGTTGAGATTGCAGGCAATGACAAGCTCAGTACGATGATGCTGTGACACACCGCCCCAGACCATGACGGACCCTCCACCTCCAAATCAATCTCGCTCCAGAGTACAGGCCTCAGTACAACGCTCATTCCTTCGACGATAAACGTGAATCCGACCATCACCCCTGGTGAGACAAAACCGCGACTCGTCAGTGAAGAGCACTTTTTGCCAGTCCTGTCTGGTCCAGCGATGGTGGGTTTGTGCCCATAGGCGACGTTGTTGCCGGTGATGTCTGGTGAGGACCTGCCTTACAACAGGCCTACAAGCCCTCAGTCCAGTCTCTCTCAGCCTATTGCGGACAGTCTGAGCACTGATGGAGGGATTGTGCGTTCCTGGTGTAACTTGGGCAGTTGTTGTTGCCATCCTGTACCTGTACCGCAGATGTGATGTTCGGATGTACCCATCCTGTGCAGGTGTTGTTACACGTGGTCTGCCACTGTGAGGACGATCAGCTGTCCGTCCGGTTTCCCTTTAGCGCGGTCTTAGGCATCTCACAGTACGGACATTGCAATTTATTGCCCTGGCCACATCTGCAGTCCTCATGCCTCCTTGCAGCATGCCTAAGGCACATTCACGCAGATGAGCAGGGACCCTGGGCATCTTTCTTTTGGTGTTTTTCAGAGTCAGTAGAAAGGCCTCTTTAGTGTCCTAAGTTTTCATAACTGTGACCTTAATTGCCTACCGTCTGTAAGCTGTTAGTGTCTTAACGACCGTTACACAGGTGCATGTTCATTAATTGTTTATGGTTCATTGAACAAGCATGGGAAACAGTGTTTAAATCCTTTACAATGAAGATCTGTGAAGTTATTTGGATTTTTACAAATTATCTTTGAAAGACAGGGTCCTGAAAAAAGGGACGTTTCTTTTTTTGCTGAGTTTACTTAGCATTTTAGCTAACCCTTCCCCTAACCCTAACTTTAACCTAACTCCTAAACCTAACCCCTAACCCTAAAACCTAGCTGACGTTAGCCACCTAGCCAATGTTAGTGTTAGCCACCTAGCTAACGTTAGCCATAACAAATTGGATTTGTAACATATGTATCGCAAATTCGTAACATATTGTACGAATTAAATCGTAACATATCATACAAATTGTAATTCGTAACATATAATACAAAATTGGATGATGGACATCCACAAATTAATACATACCATATACAAATGTTACATATCATACTAATTTGAGTGTCCTGGATTTTCGTTTACTATGTTACGTCTACCCTCGAGTCCAGGTTGTACTGTCAGATTCCTCTCATGTTGCGGCCAGGAGTTAATTGAATGGTTTCATTAATTGAGATCTTTAGTTCATGGAAATGGAGCTTTGTTTATCAACAGCTGTCTGTTCATTTCCTTAGCAGTAGTGGCCCTGTGGTGTAATTTGAATATAGAGCACAGTTCTTGGCCCTATGAGGATGATTGACACATATCTGAATGGTGGAGATAGAAGCTGGGAGGCTGGGCTTCATATTTAAGATCAAATCAATGTCTCAACACACAGTTTATTAGGTACACCACCCCGTTCACAAAAATGGCCATGTGGCCGTGGCTTGCTACATAAAGCAGGCAGACAGGCATTGAGGCATTCAGTTACGGTTCGATTGAAAGTTAGAATGGGCAAAATGAGTGACTTAAGTGACATTGAGCATGGTATGATCGTCGGTGCCAGACACGCCGGTCCCAGTATCTCAGAAACGAGCATCCTGGGCTTTTCACGCACGAAAGCGTAGCGTTTACCGAGAACGGTGCGACAAACAAAAAACATTCCAGTCAGCGCCCGTCCTGTGGGTGAAAACAGCTCGTTGATGAGAGCGGTCGAAGGAGAATGGCAAGAATCGTGCAAGCTAACAGGTGGGTCACAAACAGGCAAATAACGGCGCAGTACAACAGTGGTGTGCAGCACGGCATCTCGGAACACACAACTCATCGGTCCTTGTCAACACTGAACAATTGAGGAGTGGAAAAACAGCCTGGTCAGACGAATCCTGGTTCCTGTTGCGTCATTCTGATGGCAGAGTCAGGATTTGGTGTAAGCAGCATGAGTCCATGGCCCCATCCTGCCTGGTGTCAACGGTACAGGCTGGTGGCAGTGGTGTAATGGTGTGGGGAATGTTTTCCTGGCACACGTTATGTCCCTTGATACCAACTGAGCAACGTTTGAATGCTGCACCTTGTAGAATCCACCCCCCGAAGAATTCAGGCTGTTCTGGAGGCAAATTGGGGTCCAACCCGGCACTAGATGGGTGTACCTAATACATTAGTTATTGTTCTGCCTAATAAAGATGTTCTGGATGGTGTGCTTCCTCACTGTACAGTACCACTACCATCAGCCACACCCACCGTCATATTCACCTCATTTTACCACAGACTTACCACCCTCACATTCTCTGTTTCCCTCTCTGTGTTTATACCTGCAGAGGTTGACTTCTAGAGACTGTTGGATAAACAGTGTGCCCTGAGCTGAGGTTTACACAGCTATGCCAGCATCATCACAGAACCATAGAGAAACCCAGAGCCATTCGAATAATACAGCGGCCGGCCAGAAGATGGTACATAAACATCATGGCACAGTGTTCGTGTTCAGTGGTAGAAAAAGTACCCAATTGTCATACAAAAGTATTTGGTTTTAAATATACGTAAGTATCAAAAGTAAATGTAATTGCTCAAATATTCTTAAGTATCAAAATTAAAAGTATAAATAATTTCAAATTCCTTATATTAAGCAAACCAGACAGCACCATTTTTTATTAATTTATGGATAGCCAGGGGCACACGCCAACACTCAGACATAATTTATAAACAAAGCATTTGTGTTTAGTGAGTCCGCCAGATCAGATGCAGTAGGGATGACCAGGGATCTTCTCTTTAAGTGCGTGAATTAGAAAATGTTCCTGTCCTGCTAAGCATTCGAAATGTAACGAGTAATTTTGGGTGTCAGGGAAAATGTATGGCGTAGAAAGTACATTATTTTCTTTAGGAATGTAGTGGAGTAACGGCTCGTGTACACTAACACGCGATAAATTGCAGAGTGCCACGTCGGCCGCCCAGAGTGGCTCGCTTGTGGGCGTGATGGCAGCATATAGCAGCAGTTCAGTTGGGCATCAAGAATTCAGCATAGCAAGCTTGTATGAAGGTATATTATTAAAATGGGTAAATAATTTAATCCATTCTTCATTTCATGAATTTATTCACAGGTAAATAGTAATATGCTCTAAACCGCTCTGGTGACAAATAAAACTTTGCTGCCCTGTTTCCAATCGTCCACATGGCCGGCAGAACCATTTCAAAAATGTAAAAGAAATACGATGTATTATTAGCTAACTAGCTACAGTGCAGGCTAACTCAAATGAGCTGCTAACGTAGCTAGCTATCTAGACAAACGTACATACTGTATAGATAGCTAGCTAGCTAATTGAATATCACCAGCTACCTAACTTCATATTAGCTAGCTATCTTGATGTATTTATCATTGTAAAAATAAAATAAAACTCCAAATGCATTTGAACTGTCCGGACAACTGGAGGCCCAAGGCTGGTTAAGAGACACCGCTAGAGACACTATTATGTCATTTTGATGACATGAGAGTAGCACTGTAATTCATTAAATCAAATGCAGTGCTCCTCTGTTCTTACCTCTTTCCCTTTCTGTATTTTACACTCTCACACTTCTCTCCCCACCTTCTCTTTCTTCC